AGGACATGGTGTCCTTAACTTTTGAACTTGTAACTCTATGTTCAGGACTCCATGTCCTCAACTTTTGAGCTTGTAACTCTAAGTTAAGGACTACATATCCTTAACTTTTTAACTTGTAACTCTAAGTTAAGGACTACATCTCCTTAACTTTTTAACTTGTAACTCTAAGTTAAGGACCAAGTGTCCTTAACTTTTGAGCGTGTTAGTCTAACTTCAGGACTACCTGTCCTTAACTTTTAGGCTTGTAACCTGAAGTTCAGGACTACCTGTCCTTAACTTTTGACCTTGAGGACTACCTGTCCTTAACTTCTGTTAACCTTCTGTTATACTGTATTTTCAGGTTTCTTTATATGTTTTATGCATATGGATCATCAATAACTGGTTGGAATCATTAGAGACCAGTGATTTGTAACGACCCAGCCGGTCGTTTCATAAGTTACCGCTCCGTTTTCCCCATTTCTGCTTCTTATTACCTTGTTCAGCTGAATTATGTGTTATCGGGTTGGTTGGCTCGGGTTCGGAGAGGTTTTGATAAGGTTTGAGACACTTAGTCTCTTTTGAGAAAGCTTGAGTTGGAGAAGTCAACCGGATGTTGACTTATGTGGAATAGGGCTCGGATGTAAATTCCGATGATTCGGATAGCTTCGGGAGGTGATTTGGGACTTAGGAGTGTGATCGGAACGTCTTTTGGAGGTCCGTAGTAGATTTAAGCTAGAATTGGCGAAATTGGAATTTTGGCGTTTTCCGGTTGATAGGTGAGGTTTTGATATAGGGGTCGGAATGGAATTTCAGGAGTTGCAGTAGGTCCGTTATGTCATTTGGGATGTGTGTGCAAAATTTCAGGTATTTAATTCCGCCAAGAGTGATGTCGAAATGGACGAGGCTTAGTCTGAAGATGAAGAAATCAGGAAAAATGAAAAATTCTGACACTTAATTCTCCAAAGCGTCATGTTAGAGAACTGAATGTGGAGAATGAAATCATAATATTTTTACTCCTTATTTGCAAATGATAATATGAGGATAAACATGCGATTAAAATAGAGTCCTAAGAAATATCTTTCTTAATAAGTTAATAATATATATTATTCTTTTCTTTTCACACAGTCCATTTGCCAGTCAATTCTTTATTTTTAATGTTGTTCCAACACCATAGTAGTGCCACGTGAGGGCGATACTTAGAAATGTTTTGCACGCAATTTACAATAGATATATTAATAAATACACGCGATGTGCATTTTTCTTCAATTGCGAAAGCAAGACATAGTTTTGTAATTTTTTGTTTCTATACAGTAGGTGCATAACTCCTTTTCTTTTGTAATAACTTATATACACTTTACTATTAATTGGATCTTTCCAAATGGTGCTTGTGGGGTTCTGTTTATATAATTTACTAGTGAATTTGTTTTCACTGCGCATATTCGTAAAAGATATCAGTGAATACATTTATTATATTTGAATTGCTCAGATTATCTAATTATTAAAGATATCAAATCCAATATACTATACAAATAAAATTAATTATTGTAACATTTATCAAATTATTTTTTTAAAAAGTTCTTACTTTTTAAAAAAAATATCTACAATCATCAACTGATATTGAAGTTTAAATGAGATGAACTTAAATTAATTTTGAAATTTAGAGGTAAATTAACAGCTGCAGAAAAAAAAAATGTTTCATTTCCTTCATGAAATTAAATGTATCACGCACTTTCGAAGAAAAAAAAAGTTTTTTTTTTGGGTAAAAAATAAATATTGTTATAAGTAAATAGTAGTAACATATTGCATATTACCACGAGAGTTTTATGTCCTCTTATTATTGGCAAGTATTTTTTTGGGACTTTAAAAAAGTATTTTTTTCTTGGGGTTTGGGGGTTGGGGGTAGGAGGGGAGGTATTTTGCCGAAAAGGAAAATTACGGGCCAAATCTTATCCGGATTCGGACTACCCATCTATTTAGCTCCATAGCCGGTTCAATTGGTTAGCCTTTTACCGAACCCTGACGTTTTTTCCCCCCTCGATAAGAAAATCGAAGAGAATCCAAGCTAACCGGAGCTTCTTAGGTTCGTATCGTTCTCTGCGCCGCCGTTTCTTCCGCCGTCACAGTTAGTTAACTTTCAGTACCGGTACAATTGCTTTTCGGTATTTTTTGTCATTCAAACGTGTCCCTTTTTGGTACTAATTTACTTAATTTTATATGATCTTCTATATATGAAGAAATACGGCGTAGAAGTATTTGATTAAAGCAGATTTAGCTCATAATATTTGTTCGCTGAAGGAAGAATAATGCTGTAGGAAGTTAATTTAAATATTCTGATATATGGAAATAATAATTTATTTGCTGCATTTTCATTTTGTCTCTGGATTTTGATAAACTATGCGCACAGTTTTATTGTCATTGTCTTAATGGGTGGATGAGGAAGTTTTTGCATTAGCAACTTAGTTGTTATATTGGACTAGCAAATTTTATCCAAAAGTAAAAATAATATACATCTTCCTAGTCAATCCAAAAAGCTCTAAGCTACGCTAAAATCATTGAGGTAGCAGCCACACTTTTGAATTAAGGAAAACTAATGCAATCAAATTCTCTACTCTTCATTAAAAAGTAAAAAAACAATCCTACATCTGTTACAAGTTTCAGATGAAATACTAAATCCAAAAGCCGTGTGTTCTAAGTACGGAATAGCCGTTCCAAAAGGAAATGCGTTCTTAGATAAAAGCTAAAGTGAGATATGTATCCCTACTTTATATATTTTTCATTACTTCGATACCATATTCTTGCTGCCATGGTGGATGTCTGACGTAAAATGATTTAAGGCCACAAGAACCAGTACTCAACCTAATTTGCCTCGTTTTTGTGTTAATTAGAATGCTGATGACTTCCAGTTCACAGATTTTCTTCTTTATACTCCCCTTTAGCCCACGCCGTTGCTTTGTCGATTTGATAACGAGGGAAAGAAACAAAGGAAAAAAATGAAATGGATGTCAGGCGAGCACATATTCATTGCTTCTGCCATGTCAGCGGAAATCATTATTACTTGTCTCTTCTTTCTCGTTGAGAACAAGTTTCTGTTCAACTGTAATTGCTTGATTTGTAACCAAGAATTTAACCATGAAAACGTTCTTCCACAAACTTATCTGTAGAACGAAAACGGTCTTCCACAAACTTCAGGTATTCTCTGGCACTTTCTATTTGTGGAATAGTACTCTTAATGTTGTCGGCAATATTCATTCGCATAAACATAAGGTTTAGCCTGTTAGAGCGTTCCCATGATTTATAGAAAGACTTCTCATCCGCACTGCTCGAATCAGTAATGTTAGCGGGCTTATCATTCAGCAGAGCCAAGTCAATATCCATCACACGTAAGTGGAACTGGACTTGTTCACGCCATTCAGAGAAGTTTAATCAATTGAACACAGTAACAGACGAAGCAAGCGAATGAAAAGGAAGAGTTGCAAAATAGATAATACATGCTCACTAATCAATATGAATTCAACAAAACTGTTAAAGCATATCGCAATTCTCCTTTGGGTAAATACTACGACACACTATCTTAAATTAAGTGCCATTTAGTCTTTAATAGGTAATTAAATATTTTCAACCAAATATATTCCGTCTTTGGACAAACAATATATATTTGACTAATAATATTAATCTACCTCGTCATATTCACTATTCATAGAATAATTGATTCACCTCTGGGTAAATCGTAAGTTCTAGAAATAGTGAAAATTAATTTATCCACTAATTTTTAATTAAAGGCATTTCATTAATTTCATGGATAAACTATAATTTTATGTATGCATATTTTCATAAACAAACTAGTTTGGCCACTTTGGTGACTAACAAACTATATAACATAAGTGCACGCACAAAATAAAGATCAGAAGATTTTATGCATGTGAATACTTTAAACAATTTAGTTTGGTCACTTTAGTGACTAACAAACTATATACACATTAATCACATACATAAAATAAATTACAACATAATAGCTTCAAAATATATAGGAGAAGATACGGATACCATTCATATACATAACTCACGTCATAAAATATGTGATTAACGGGTTCAATATTGTCAACATTGAATTTTTTATGTCAACCAATTTAAACACCAAAAGTTTCTAGCAGAATCCTTATGGTTAATCTTAAGGAATTATTATTCTTGAAGTCAGTCTAAACTTCAACATAAACAATTTATTCCTCTTTTTTTTAATTTCTAAATGCTCACAAGTATATTGGACAATAACCTAAGTTTATAAAATATGCCAAAAACTACAAAAATATTTCGTTCTTTCCTTTCGGTGCCGCCTTCAAGGCTTTTTACATAATGCCAAGTTTGTTTAAGGAAAAGGAAAATAGAATAGATCAATCTTATAGCCCGTTTGGCCAAGCTTTTAAAATCAGCTTATTTTGAGAAGGGTTTTTCTTAAAAGTACTTTTAAAAAAAGTGCTTTTGGTGAGAAGTAGTTTTTGTTTGGCTAATTAGTTAGAAAAGCACTTTTGAGCAGTAATTAGTATTTGACCAAGCTTTTGAAAACTGCTTCTAAGTGTATTTTTCTCAAAAGTGCTTTTGGAGAGAAGCTACTTTTTTCTGCTTCTCCAAAATTGCTTCTGCTTCTCCTCAAAAACACTTTTTTTCCTTCCACAAGCTTGGCCAAACACCTCAAATTTTGGCCAAAAGTGCGTTTGGCTAAAAAAAAAAGCATTTTTGGCCCAAAAAAAAACTTGGCCAAACAGGCTATTAATTCGATAGATCAAGTCAACAAAAGCAAAATTAACTAAAACATGGAATCATTCATGGCTATGTATCCAAAAAGCATCCAATATGAGTACATTTCCTTTTTTTTCGCTAATTTAGAGTGTATTGAAAAATCTGGAAAAGACACTAAAAAAAAACGGGTAAATTGCTGAGATTTATTGTAGAGGGTATAAGTAACCTCCACAATTTGCATAATTTTACGGCAATATATTAGCCCCACAAAATTATATAATTTACCGGGTCTAAAATATCCGCAACCCTAAAATAATAGCGGGTCACACTCCCTCCAATTTTCCCCCAATCTTTTTCGCCCTAGAAACTTCCGCCTCAACAACAACAAAATACTCTCACGCTTCTTCTTCATTAATCAAGTTCTGCGCTGCTTCTTCTTCTTCATTAATCAACAAAATACTCCCACAGCTTTTATTCACTGAAAGAACAGCTGAAGAATACATTGTGCCTGCGATTTTCTTCAGTGTATTTTACTTTTGAACAGTGTATTTTACTTAGAATACATTGTGCCTGCGATTTTCTTCAGAATCAACCCATCCTCGTCACTTTGCCTGCGATTTTCTTCTGCTGCGCCGAGGGACCTATCGAAGCTTAATTTCTCTTTTTCAAAGGTTAGATCTATCCATCGTCTATATGTTTTCTTTTCCATTACTGTTATTTGTAATCACTTTTTTGTGTTAATCTGTTTTCACCCTGAGAAAAAGAAGATTTTCTGGTTAGTTTTTGCACCTCTCTTTTGCTACCCTTTGTGTGTATGAAGATTTTCTGGTTAGTTTTTGCACCAACGTTGCATTTTAATTATCGTTACTTTGAGATTGAAGCACCAATAGGTATTCCTTCTCTTGATTATGGTTATTTGTTGCCGATGATTCCGATTTGTTTAAGATAGAACAAGATTTCATCAGTGATAAAGAATAAATTGCACGAGATAGGACTGTAAAGTGATGCTGATGGTTCCTACTTTCCTTTTGTATAATATATGTAAAGAGAAACTCAAAGGGTTGATGATTCCTACTTTCCTTTTTTGCATAGTGGGGAACAGCTTTATTGTAAGCATCAATTAGCTTGAAATGATTGAACTTGATTTACTTATACTGGTCAATCTGGTGTCAAATTATCACTATGTCTTGAATATAATGGGAATTCTTCTTATACACTATCTCACCCTTGTCAAATATCTTGTAGTCTGATTTGCATAGAACTTTTTAATCTTGAGGTTGCTTTGTTCTGTACCAAGTCGAGGGTCTATCGGAAACTGCTCTGCCCTATCGGGGTAGGGGTAAGGTCTGCATACACATTACCCTCCCCAGACCCCACTTGGCGGGATTTTACTGGGTAGTTGTTGTTGTTGTTGTTGGAGATCACATTATGAGCAAATAGGGTTGATAAATTACTCAATTTTGGTAAAGTTTAAAATGAAATCTTATACAAAGATTAAGGAGCACATAAATTGGATTTGCTTTAGCAATTTTAGCTATGTTTAGTAGTAGGAGTAATAATTATAGCAAACATCAACTAGCAATATTCCTTTTGGGTCAATGTACAGTACACAATACATCTAGCAATTGAGTTCCATTAAGGTCAATGCCTCCTAAAATAAATTAGCAAGTGTTATGGTAAAATAATACAAGTGTACCACTTTATGGTAAAGTCCATACAGGGATTTTGATTTTGAATCAGTCAACAAAGTTCCCTTTCACACTCTGCTGGATTATAAGTCATAAAATAAAAGGTTCTAGCTGTTGAACATGTGCTCAGAAATAAAACCAGCACCCTGTCCCAGCATGTATTTTAGAGTAAATCCAGCCAAGTATGACCTGAAATAGCACATTACAGAGACTATATAATTTTCGTCATTTTAAATGATATAATACCAAAGATTTAAGTAATATATACATTGACAGTATAATTGCAGTTCACGAGTGATTGGAGTCAGGGGACTGTAAAATTCCTAACTGTAAAATACATTGTGCCTGCGATTTTCTTCAGAATCAACCCCTCCTCTTCACTTTGCTTGCGTTTTTGCCTCAGTCCTTGCTACCTTTTCCGTCTCCTCTCTAGCCATCTTTACACAACATACTCGATTGTTAGGTTTTGGCCATATGAATTCTCTCTACTCATCTCGATTATTTCGGTTTGTTTCATTCCAACACTATTAGGGTTTCTATAGGTCTTACTCTTGACAGTATCATAATCATGCCTAAACCTCATAAACCAAATTGCCCACAGACTTAGCAGCAGATAACGCAGGCGCTAACTTCGCCTCCTTGACAATAAAACCGTGTGCATAGTTTATCAAAATCCAGAGACAAAATGAAAATGCAGCAAATAAATTATTATTCCATATTTCAGAATATTTAAATTAACTTCCTACAGCATTATTCTTCCTTCAGCGAACAAATATTATGAGCTAAATCTGTTTTAATCAAATACTTCTACGCCGTATTTCTTCATAATATAGAAGATCATATAAAAATAAGTAAATTAGTACCAAAAAGGACACTTTTGAATGACAAAAAAATACCGCAAAAGCAACTGTACCGGTACTGAGAGTTAACTAACGGTGACGGCGGAAGAAACGGCGGCGCAGAGAACGATATGAACCTAAGAAGCTCCGGTGAGCTTGGATTCTGGAAACTTCAATTTTCTTATCGAGGGGGGAAAGAAACGTCGGGGTTGGGTAAAAGGCTAACCAATTGAACTGGTTATGGAGCTAAATAGATGGGTAGTCCGAATCCGGATAAGATTTGGCCCGTAATTTTCCTTTTTGGCATAATACCTCCCCTTCCCCACCCCCAACCCCAAGGAAAATACTTTTTTTGTTAAGTCCCAAATTATTTGCCAATAATAAAAGGACATAAAACTCTCGTGGTAACATGCAATATGTTATTTACTTATAACAATATTTATTTTTTACCCAAAAAATACTTTTTTTTCTTCGAAAGTGCGTGGTACATTTAGTGGGCATTTGGACATAAGAATGGTAAATTTCAAAAAAAAAGGGAAAAAAATTCCAAGTGAAAATGATATTTGAAAATTAGAGTTGTGTTTGGACATGAATATAATTTTGGGTTATTTTTGAAGTTTTGTAAGTGATCTGAGTGAAAATTTTAAAAATATTTTTTTTTGAGTTTTTAAAATTTTCGAACAATTTCAAAATCAATCTTCAGGGGAAAATTGAAAATTTTATGGTCAAACACCGATTCCAAGCTTATTGCGGGGGCATGCTCAACCGCCGTGACAGCAAATAGCGGAGGTTACTAATCTTATTATAACCTATTAGCATATAGTAATGCTAATTGGTGGAGAGATCTAAAAAGTAAAGGACATCATTATACTTTTATGAAGCATGTAAAATTATCTGATTATCAACTATGCCTTAGAATGTCAGTACAAGCAAAACTTTTATCTCTAATTTGCATCGTTGTGTTAATTAAAGTGCTGATGACTTCCAGTTCACAGATTTTCTTCTTTATACTCCCCTTTAACCCACACCTTTGCTTTGTCTATTTGATAACGGGGGAAAGAAACAAAGAAAAAGATGAAATGGATGTCAGGCGAGCACATATCCATTGCTTCTGCCATGTCAGCGGAAATCATTATCACTTGTCTCTTCTTTCTCGTAGAGAACAAGTTTCTGTTCAACTGTAATTGCTTGATTTGTAACCAAGAATTAAGCATGACTGATCTTGAAATTTAACCATGAAATACTGAGAATCCGAAAGCGTGTCCATGTAATTTTACTAGATTATGTATTGGGTAGTGTATCATGATCACATAAGAATATCAGTTTGGCTTTTGTTGGCCAATTGATGCTTTGGAACTCATTACCCGAGCATCTTCTATCATTTACCAAAATTGTTATTGGCAGTGTTTCTCTGACTGCTCAATCCTTGTTAATAAAGTCAAAAATTAAGATACATTTGTCAGTATGTTTCACATTTACATTGATTTGCTGCAGTTAAGGTCATGCCTAAAGTAAAAACAAACCGTGTCAAATATCCAGAGGGATGGGAGCTGATTGAACCTACTCTTAGTGAGTTACAAGCAAAAATGAGGGAAGGTATTGTCACTTCAGTTAATAAGAGTATAAGACAACTTTAGCATTCATTGTTTCCTATGTAGGCAAAATGATTTTCATCTCCTAATTTATTGTGGAACTTTAATGTTGGTTTGACCGTTTTGTACAGCTGAGAATGATCCTCATGATGGCAAAAGAAAATGTGAGGCTTTGTGGCCTATTTTCAAAATTGCCCACCAGAAGAGCCGGTATATTTTTGATCTATATCACAGGAGGAAGGAGATCTCCAAGGAATTATATGAGTTCTGCCTAGATCAAGGATATGCGGATAAAAATTTGATTGCGAAATGGAAAAAGGTATGTTCACACTCCTTGCTTCAGTTTGTGTGCCGCCTTTGCTTTTAAGTGCACTTGCATGAAGCCATGAACTATCCCTTTTTTTCATTTGTGGGGAACTCTTGTTCATGTACACATGCCAATGCATATTTCTCTTTTTTCTTTATGTATTTCTGTTTTGACTTTTGTTTAGTACTTTGGGGGGTTTGGGGGGGGGGGGGTTGGTGTGTCCTTTCCATTTGTGTATATACTGACTTTGTAGTTAATTCTTATGGTTTTGGCTTTGAATTACAGCCTGGTTATGAACGGCTCTGCTGTTTGAGGTGCATGCAACCACGAGATCACAACTTTCAAACAACTTGTGTTTGCCGAGTTCCACAGCATCTTAGGGAGGAGAAGGTTATTGAATGTGTCCATTGCGGCTGTAAAGGTTGTGCAAGCGGAGATTAACCTGTTCTTTAGAATCAACTAGTGCTTAATTTTACATGTTTTGTACTTGTAGTAAACCTACATTATTCAAAGCACTGATCAAACGATGTCTAGAACATCGTAGTCAGTTCAATGCTTGAGGTTGTGTTGGATGAGATAACAACTGTGGTCGCAGTACCTATTGTAACCTGTGTAACCTATTTATCGTAGACTACTTGCCTTAAGATAGTTTTGATGGTTGTTTGCAAGTTAATCCTTACAGCATATCAGAATATAGTGTAAAAGCTACTTGGGTTGCAGGATGCTTAGACAATTTCTGATGGGTATTAAAAGTGTCACGTTTGATAGGGATAGAAGTTGTAAGAGATTTTCATAGAAGTATGTAGAATTCATGACTTTCCAAATTCCAACTCCCTGATATTGAGACATGTATACCATAAAAGTAGATAGTTTATGACCGACTGCACATTTGCCCAAAGATTTTACACCAGTGATTCCATGGCTGATAGTCAATCTGACTTGTGCTTCAATATCTCCATCTTAACACGCTTAATATTTCCTCCTTAATTGGAGATCTGCATTTTCTTCTTCTGTCGGCGGCAAAACTGGGGCGGCAAAGTCAATGTTCTGGCTCTAATCTTCTTGAATATTTGGAAGATCAATCTCTTGGAACTGTGACTAAACTGTAGAAGCGAATCACAGCTCTCTATTAGCAGGAACGAGCTTCAGTAATTTCGCCAGATCATAAGACTTGAAATCTTTGCCATAACAAAGGCTAAGATCAAGGGGTGTATTGCCATCCTGTGAAACGTAAATGTTCAAAGGCTATTAAAATTTTCACAAGCATACCTCTCTAAGGAAAGAGAAGCACAAAACTCTTAACTCTTACTAATAGAAGAGCAATGGCAAGGTATAGAAAAGTCCACCATGGAAAATCCTCCCATCCCAGGAAAATTATAGTGCGCAAGTGCGATAAAAACATTTTTTTTGTATATACATAAACCGTTGAATCCACTTAACATAAGGAAGATTCTAGGTATAACATTTTTGCATTTTTTTGAATCCCTATTCGTGGCTCACTCATCCTACATATAGTCATGGTGGATAGTATCTTTTATCATTCATCTACCGTTTGAGTTGGATTGGCACGTCTATATTTGGCTTGAATGGCCTTTGCCATCCTTTCTCAAAGCTGAGGGCAAAAATGAGTTGTAATTAGGATATTTATCAATGAGAAGAACATCATTAGAGTTGCATTACACGCATACATACAGGTAGGAGGAGGTATTAAAAACCACCCAACTGGGCAGTACGGATAGTTCTTAAGCGTATTTTAAGCCGTAGAGACTGAACCAGCAATAACACTAGTTTGGCACTAAAGTTATAGCTACAATTACCTTATTCTTCCTGTACTTATCTGCTCCATTGACTAGAAGAATTTTAGCTATGTCTCTGTTTCTGCTTTGCATGGCCACATGCAGCGGCGTCCAGCCCTCCTGTAAGAAGGAATTACTACAAATAAGCTAACAGGACCATGAAAATGTCAGAAAATAAAATAAAATGTTCACTTACATTATCAGCAACATTCACATCAACCTTGTATTTGATTAACAACTTGACAGTTTGCATGGCTCCTACTTGAACTGCATAATGAAGCGGGGTAACACCGTCCTGTTATCAGGGAGACATAAAATATGATCCCTGTAATCAAACTTTAAGCAAGTTGTTTAAAAAGTGAAAAGCAAAACCAAGTTGTCTCACCAAATCCCTAACTTGAGGATTTGCATCTTTTCTTAGAAGATGACTGATAACAGCCTCTTTTTTACCAAAAACAGCATGGTGGAGAGCAGTTCGCCCTTCCTGTCACCAAATTAACCAACGAACAAAGGTATTAAATGTCAATCAACACTATCTACGTTATGGATACAACGGATCTTACCTTGTCAACAACATCAATATCGAGACCCTCCTCTAGAAGTTTATCCATAAATCGTATCTGCCCTGCTAATGCAAAAGTGTGAAGAGGGTTCCATTTTTCCTGGATTAGACACACATCCAATAGTATCAGGACTTGTTCCAGAAACCAGCAAAAGAATGTATGATTTCTTTTCAATAATGTAGATTTTGGTCTCTACAGTTTGTAAGCAGTTTCTAACAGTTAGAATAGCAAGCCCCTGGCTTGCACGAAAGACTACTAATTTACTTATCAGAGAAGATGTTAGAAAAGAGGCAGCAGGAGGTCCTAGGAACTTACAGTTGATATCTTATCCAGCTCTGGAGTTTGGTTGCGGTACAAAATTGCCCTTTCTTCTGGGCTCAAAAGCTGTTCAACCTCTGAAACAAAAACAAAAGTTAGATGCTAATACTTTATCGTTCACTTGCCCAAGCGCAATGAACTTTTTTTTTTGTGCGTGTGTTGAGGGGTTTTTTTTTTTTTTTTTTAGGGGGGGGGGGGGGGGGGAATTGAGAGGA